CAGTGGAACAAATAGAGGGTGTTTGGTTCGATCAAAGTATATGTGCTAAGGTGTGATTAGAAGTTTAAATACTTTGAGAGGGGCTTGAATTCTCGAGAGATTTGCCAACCCAAGAGATTTGATCCTTGGAAAGAGATTGATTCTTTCCAAGAATAAGGCTATTCCGCAACGACTCTATCTGACGAGAGGTTGTAAAGATTTTCCCTTCTGTGCGATCCCGAAATCTTGATCCTTCCAAATTTAGACACTTGATTAAATATTCTGCAAGATCTTCGATATACTTGATTTATTTGATTCCTTCAGTTTAGCCTTAATTGATTCCGTCAGTATCAATTTCTTCCTTTAATCACGTCTGCTTTCCTTGATTATTTCTGATTGATTCCTTCAATCTTGTATGCCAATCCATGTGTTCCTTCATCATTGCTGATTGATTTCTTCAATCTTGAATGTTATCCATGAGTTCCTATACAAAAAGCAAATATATTATTTTCATCATTAAAATCAGATCTAATAATCTCCCCCTTTTTGATGATAACAAATAGTTGGAATCCTTCCTCTCCTCATGTTCTTGAATCTTCTCATTAAACCATCCATGTTTCTTGACATCATAGCAATTTCTTCTTGAAGGGCTTCAAGATCATCACCGATATCATTTTCAGCTATTTCAGTTGTGGTCTTGAATGCGATTGTTTTCTTCATTTCTTCTTGGTTGGTTTTCTTAAGATGTGTCTTTTCAAAGGCTATGAGTTCTCCTCGAAGTTCATCATAAGATAACTTATTCAGATCCTGAGATTCAAGTGTGACTACTTTGGTCTGCCAAGTATTTGGTAGGCTTCTAAGAATCTTTCTAACTTGATCATCACTTGAATATGGTTTGCCGAAGGCTTTTAGATCGCTAATTATTTTGCTGAATCTGGTAAACATCTCTTCAATGGACTCTCCTTCTTTCATTTGTAAAAGTTCGTAATCATGAATCAACATGTTGATATGTATTTCCTTTACCTTGCTGGTTCCTTCGTATGTAACCTCAAGCTTGTCCCACATCTATTTGGCTGTGTCAGAGTTGGAGATTTTCTCATACTCTTCACTACTTATAGCATTATAGAGCAAGTTTCTCGCCTTATTGTTGACTTGTACCACTTCCATTTTTCTCATCTGTATATGAATCTATATCTTTAGGATCGGCAAGTGGTTGAGCGGCAGCCAGTAGAGGATAATTCCCCTTTTTAAAACTCTCCAAACTTTAACATCATACGCCTTTGCATATATTTTCATACGCACTTTCCAGTGGGAGAAATGTTGTCCATTGAAGTATGGTGGCCTTACTTGCGAAGTTCCTTCCTAGAAGAGTGCTCCTATGATAACTTGATTTGCCATGATCTTTTCTCACGAGCTGTTAAGCAAAAAAAAGTGTGAGCGTCGCTTTGATACCAATTGAAAGTGCAAGAAGGAGGGGGTGAATTGTTTATTTTCAAACCTAATTACTATTAGTTGACTAGTTTTTCAATTAGTCAACTAGATGTAATAACTTGATAACAATAATGATAGAACTTAAGATGCTGAAATTAAATGCAAGAATTAAAGACACCAGAATTTTTATACTAGTTCGAATTCAATATGAATCCTAGTCTAGTCCCCTTGGGTTGCAAGGGAGTTCCTTTAAGTGAATGGGTTTCTTCAGGTACATAGAGAATGGTGTGATCTACACCGATAGCTCAGTTCTTATATCACGCGTTCCTTTTGATACAATGCCTCACCAGTGTTGTTCTCTATTTCTTCTCTAACTTGTTACACAGCAGATCTTAGTAGAGCTACAATATTTGTTTGCAGTCGAACAAAGAGAGGGTGTTTGATTCGATCAAAGTATATATGTTAAGGTGTGATTACAAGTTTAAATACTTTGAGAGATGCTTGAATTCTGGAGAGATTTGCCAACCCAAGAGATTTGATCCTTGAAAAGAGATTGATTCTTTCCAAGAATAAGGCTATTCCGCAATGGCTCTATCTGACGAGAGACTGTAAAGATTTTCCTTGTGTGCGATCCCGAAATCTTGATCCTTCTAGATTTAGACGCTCGATTGAATATTCTGCAAGATCTTCGATATACTTGATTCCTTCAGTTTAGCCTTGATTGATTCCGTCAGTATCAATTTATTCCTTTAATCACGTCTGCTTTCCTTGATTGCCTCTGATTGATTCCTTGTATGTCAATCCATGCGTTCCTTGATCATTGCTGATTGATTTCTTCAATCCCGAATGCTATCCATGAGTTTCTAAACAAAGAGCAAATATATTATTTTCACCATTAAAATCATATCTAACAAATCTGATCTACAATAACTTTTCATAGTAAGTCTGATATGACAACGTAAAATATAAAATAAACAATTATAGTATGTTAACTTACATTACAACAACAATATTAATATACACAGTGTGATTCCACAAGTGGGATTTGGGGAGTATAGAGTGTATGCAGATCATACCCCTACCTTGTGAGAAATAGCGAAGTTGTTTCTAGGCCCCCAGTTCAAGAAAAGCATTTTCAAAACCTGACAAAAAAACAAGTAAAAAGTTATGGTGAAATTACTATGGAAAGGAAAGGAAAAGTATTGCCAACAAAGGTAGTAAAGATACCCAAACAAAATAAATTTGAAAATAATAGGGCAGTAATAATGGTACTGACAAGCAGAAGATGGAGCAAATAAGGTGTTCGAAACTATAAGCAATTTCTCCCACAGAAGATGCATGGAGCAAATAATGACACCGCTAATATTGCTCGATTACCTATTAACCTTCTACGTATTTTTTTTATTAAATTTGGGATCATATTCTCGGTGAGCTGAGAAAGTATATTAACTTGCACTGAAATTATAAAAATCTTTACATAGTAAAGTATGAATGTGTATAACTTAAATCTTTGCTTGTGGAAGATTATGATGTATCAACTAACCTTGGTTTTGTTCAAATTTGAAACTTTATTTGGTCTATAATTATCAACTTGTTTTTTTCAATGAAAAAGCATACTTCAACTTGTTTTGAATTTTCTACGACTGACGGGTTTTATATCAGTTTGTTCATCTTTTCGTAGGAAGAAAAGGTGTGGTTGTGGTGGACTGTGGTAAGTACTTTTTAATTCTTATTTAGAGGTTTAGAGTTTGAGCCTTAGGTATGAAATCGTTTATGATAGGAAACGTTTATTTTTAATGTAAAATTTTCCAACGCGATCCTAAATTTAATCGAGCCCAATGCGAATACCGAACACTAAACTAGAAACCAAATAAAAAGAATAGATGTGCCAACATAAAGGGAGGTGGGACGTTGAGTCGTTATAAAGCCAGGTCAGATGCATGGAAATACTGAAAAAAGAAAAGAAAAGAGAAAGTGGCGGAATATATCAGGAATTAGAAGTTACTTTAACGCTACTTCTTCCATCCCATACTCATATATTCCATGTTCTCCTTTATTTGCGAATCACAAAATATACATTTATTCGAAAGTAGTTTACATTTGCATAATTTTAATTTCCGGATCATTGCTGAGTCAAGTCTTTATCCACACATATTAACTATGCAAAAATAAGAAACAATAAATCTAAAGTAGTTGTTTGAAAATGAAGTCTTATGTTTCATATTTCCGAGCATCAAAATATTTTACGAACAGGCCAAACTCAAGATATTTGTTAAAGAAGATTAAGTATACTGTCATCTAATTATTTTTTTAGTAATATTCCGTAGACCAAGCATTGGATATTAATTGAATAACATGTCAAACACAAGATGTTTTTGTTAAAGAAAAATAAGTTGTTTCCACGTCTAAAATTGGACCAAATGTCTATATCTTCACTTAACTTTTATTGTATTAACCTTTTAAATCCATAATTTCCTTAACATACAATAACAACAACAACCAAAAAACTCATTTAATCCCATACGTGGGGTCTGAGGAGAATAATGTGTACACAACCTTATTCTTACCCTACAAAAGTAGAAGGACTATTTTCGATGGACTAGAATTTCCTTAACATATGATCACGAATGTAGTTCTATAATTTACTACTATCAATTGCCAGTGGTAATCAGATATTTGTCCTGGAAAACAATGAATAATTATTTATTGGAAACTGTTGAAATTAAAGAGTAGTCTGGTGCAAGAAGCATCCACATTCATGCAAGTTCCGGGAAAGGGCTGACACAAGGGATGTGATACTGTGATGTAGATAGTCTACCCTAACGCAATGACTGATTTCACAGCTCGAATCCGTGACCTATAAATCACATAAAAACAACTTTACCGTTGCTCCAACACTCCCCTTATGGAAATTGTTGAAATTGAAACTCAAAAATGATCCTAAAAAATTGTTAATAGAATTTTTAAATATTATTTGTCCTCAATGAAAATTACAATTTACGTAACAAATAAGTTTGAATTCTCTATTTTGCTTTCGTATAAGCAAAAAAGTAAGTCTGGATCCCACGTTAAAGTTTGTGGTATTTTTGTTTCATGGTATACTTCTTTCATCCTAATTTGAGTAGCACTCTTTTTCACAATTCAAATTTTTTGCATCATTTCACCTATAAAATTAATGTTCATGAGTTTTTTATTTTTAAATTGCAAAATTTTATTAAATTATGTAAAAAAAAATTACGTTGATGTGATTTTTCAAGTTTATTCTATAATTATTGTTGTAAATATTTTTTTATTAAAATAATATCTTAAATTTTGTACACAACCAAACAATGCCACATAAAAAGAATTAGATGAACTATTTTTTCTCCGGCACAGAATGGAGGTTGCGAATATTCCCTCCACCGCACAAACTTAATCCCTTTAACGGTAACGTCCCACCCTCCGTTTCCTACTTTTCCATCAAAAAACCCCCCATCGACCGTTAGGAACTCCGTCATTTTCACCGTCTAAGGTCCCACCACTCCCACATCTATACCCAATCAAAAACCTCCACGTGTCCCGGATATTTCTAATATTCGCTTCCACCGTAGAATCTTCAGTTTCTCTTTGTTTTTGTTTGAGCTGCTTAAATGGCAAAGTAGTGTTAACCAGCAGAGCGGGAAGGGGGAGAACGCGTTTTACATTACAGCTTCAACAAACAGGACTCTCTCCTTTACTCAACTGCTATCTCTTTCTCTTTCTCTCTCTAGGGTTTATTCTCTTTCTCTCTCTTTTTTGATTTCTATAAATACTCGCTCGTCTTTGCCGTTGTTCATACGCTTTCATTTCATTTTCTAGATCTGAGCTCTGTGTGTGTGTTTCCACTTTCTACCGACGCTCTTCCTCCTTTCGTGCTTCAGGTACGAATCGTTTCCTTCCAAGGCATTTTACGTACTTTTTGTTGTCATGTTTTGATTTATTTCACTTTAATTTTGTTCTTCGACAATGCGCTAAATGCTAATCTCTCTCTGGTAATCGTGTTGGATGATCTTCATTTCCTTGTTTTAGGCATTCATTTCCCTTTTTTTTTTGTCGTTTTGTAATAATGCTTTTACGGATCGTTTTCTTCACGGCATTTTCTGTAGTTTTTACTGATATATTTAGTAAATGCTTTAACGACTCAATTTCCTTATTCATTTTCATTTTCTGATTTTTTTGTTTGTTTTAAAAGTGATTTTGTTTCTTCAGATACTGATTGCTTTCTTCATGAAATTTAACTCTGTTTTTATTCTTCGTGAATGCGCCAATGTCTCTTCAGTAAATGCGTTTAAGCACCTTCGTTTCTCTGTTTTAGGCATTGATTTCTTTGCTGAAGCTTTTGTTCTTTTCGTGTAGTATTAAAGGTTTTCTGCTTCCGGTTTCATTCTGCTTCCGCCTGTGCATTTGACTCTAGTTGAACAGAATTACTGACGATTGCTCTGTTTGTTTCTTATGAACTTACTAGAGTACTTGAAAAGCCCTTATTGAGAACTTCTGCTTAAGTGTAGTAGGCATCTACCTAGTAGGTTCTTGCTTTTCTTTTATCCTTGTTACCTAAAGTCTTAACAGCTCTGTAATTCGACCTATCATAGTTGCATATCTAGAGCTAAATGAGATAGATCTGGCATTGCTGGTTGTACATATAGATCAGCATTGCAAATAGTAACCTCTATATCAAATGTTATATATATATNCGCAGCTCATCCTTGGCATGATCTCGAGATAGGTACTTTACACATTCTGTAAAGGGAAACAGCCTTCCCCACAGTTGTGCAAAGAAATTGCCCGTGGACTATTCATGAGCTAAATTTTTTGTTTTGTTGCAGGACCTGGTGCCCCACAGATTTTCAATGTGGTAAGGATTCTTTGTATTGCTTCAAATTTTAGAACTGATATTTAATATTTTTGCACCTTCATATCAGTTTATATGATGCAATTTATGCTTCACATATAAGCTGAACAATAACTGGCTCGGTCCACATGTTAACTCTTTTTAATATTTAGCTAGGTGATGTCAAGTCCAAAACAGATTGTAAATCTTTGAGTTTTTTATGAGCAAGCAAGTATGATTAGTTTTCTAGTCGGATGCCTTAATTTCATATTAGATAACATTAGCTGACAAAATCAGAATCAAACAAAATGTTTCCAAGAAGTCTTCATTTTCTGTTACTCTGACTTTATGCTATCCTATTAAGTGGTGCTTTACTTCTCTAATTGTAAAATCTAAAGACTCCAAATTCTTCTGCCTAAAGTGGACTTTTCTCCTAGGTACTTAGAACTTACGAGAGGATAATATATATGGTTCAAGTTATTTACATTACCTGATTTTATTTATTGTACACAAAGGAATATGTATGTATGTATGTATGTATGTATGTATGTATGTATATATATATATATATAACCCTTATGCATTGGTTAAAAAATATCATTTGAACGTGAACCTATCATTTGGTTGGTGCAGGTGGTTGAGATCAGTAAGGGGAGCAAGGTGAAGTATGAACTTGATAAAAAAACTGGACTGATCAAGGTATGAGTGGTATCCTTTCCAAACGAGTAAAATAATGGAAGTTTTAGCTGAGTTACCTGAAACATTCTGTCATTCCAGGTTGATCGGGTTCTTTATTCATCAGTTGTATACCCCCATAACTATGGGTTCATCCCTCGTACCCTTTGTGAAGACAGTGACCCTCTGGATGTCTTAGTCATCATGCAGGTGAGCTGATTCTCCTTTTCCATTGTCATGATAAACGACACATCTTGGATATTAGGTGATTGTTGAACTGCAGTTAAGGATCTAAGAAATTACCTCATAATTTACATGTCTTATGCGTAAGCAAGAGCGGGACGAGATATAGTCCCTCTAACTACTTTAAAACAGTGCTGGAGACAGAGCGGGACGAGATATAGTCCCTTTAAGTACTTTAAAACAGTGCTGGAGACTGACAGAAATGCTGATCTAGTCCTGGAATTAGGTCTCATTATAGGCATCTGTAATCTCAGTATTTGTTCTAAATAAAACAAGTAACTTATGAATCGTCATATCATATACTAATTCAAAGTCAATTCAATCTCTCTCCTCAGTGCTGAATTATCTGGACAATCCGTTAGATAGTTACCCTGTATACTATAACCTATTGACATGCGTATTATATGTTGTTGATCTATATTTAATGAAGCTGTCGATCATTCTTAAAAAGCCAAGCCTTCAATAGTTTTCCAGTGCGTGCATGGGCCTCAAGAAAGTGGAAAAGTTAACCATTTGTGAATTGTGGGCTCGCAATGCACATAATTAGCAAATCAAAGAAATAATCTATGAACTGTGTGCTTTTAGTTTTAAGAGGATACCTATCATTACCCAATTTCTTCTCTTGATTATTACCATGCTAATTTGCAGGAGCCCGTTCTTCCTGGTTGCTTTCTCAGGGCTAAAGCAATTGGTCTTATGCCCATGATTGATCAGGTATATATCTATGTTCAAATAAATTTTTTGTCCCCAATCTTTCCATGTATTAACACAAGTCAAAATGCAGGGAGAAAAAGATGACAAGATAATTGCTGTATGTGCCGATGATCCTGAATATAAGGAATACACTGATATCAAGGAGCTGCCACCCCATCGTTTAGCTGAGATCCGTCGCTTCTTTGAGGATTGTATCCTTTTCCAAAATCACAAATCTCAGCATGTATTTTAATTTCAGAAGTTTATGAATTTTTCATGATGTGTTCTTTTACTGTTTCTGTGTGCTAGTATGAATAAAAATTTGAGTATATGGTCCTTGAGGACCTTGACAAATGTATCAGATAAGAAAAATGAGAACAAGGAAGTTGCTGTCAATGACTTTCTTCCAGCCACCAAAGCGTTCGAAGCAGTCCAGCATTCCCAGTAAGTTATCTCTACCGCTCTTTCAAGCATTACCAAGAAGTTCAATTTTTCTTCCTTCTGCAGTATGTAAAACTGAACAAACATATAGATGATTATAAACATATAGCGCAGTTGTGCAAGGGCTGGAGTAGCTATACCTTAGAGAATTAGATATGAAGTTATATTGCCATTTTTCTTGCTTCCACCAGCTGCTTATAATATTCTTTCTTTACAGGGATCTGTATGCAGACTACATCGTGGAGAGCCTGAGGAGATGATCATAGTCTTTTCATCTTCCCCAAGTCACGAATGGTGGTTGATTTACATATCTCATACTAATATACGATATAGTAGTACTGCTCTGGTATTGTCTACTTGTACTACAAAAAGCATAGTTATACCATTGTTGCATGTGCATACAACTTACTACATACAATATGCTTGTATTATCTACTACCTGGGGATATTAGCTCCATACAGTACGTGATGATGACGAAAAGGAAACTTTAAGTTTCCCCTGTCAAATTTTGTAAGATTTGATATTCCTCAATTTTCCGGGGTTATGAAATGGATTATACGCAGTTAAGTGTGTGTTCATTCTGTTCTGTTCCTTAAGTTTTAACAGTTTCAGAATTGGGCCAATTGCTATGGATATGAACTGCACGTGCAAACTTTTTACTGGGTGATCGACTTGTACTATTTCACTCGATTTAGTTGAAGTTTCAGATTTGATAAGTTTATTAATCGCAATTAGTGTCTGGTATTGTAAGAAAAAGAAAATCCGTTTCTAGATTTATAACTGAAAACAATAATATTTTAGTCATCTATGTTACAATCACATTTTTGTTAAATCAAAAACAACTTTTATCGTCCAAAGCAAATCATGACTCCTGCGTTAATCATACAAAGGTTGATCTAAATAAACTGAGGAGAGAAATAGCAAGGAAGACAGAATGTTTTCAGTGTAAGTGTGATGCGGTTGTGATTTTGTACTGAAAATCGATATGGTATTGTAGGATACACTACCTAAGGATTAAGGTGTAACCAGAGATAGGGTAAGGACTTGAAATTATCTCAAGGGGAAGGTGTTAGGCACCCCTCAGGATCCACTAGTGTGGTTCCCGGCCAGACTATTGTTATGAACTTAGGTGCAAATAACATCGTAAACAAATAAAGCTTCAAATAAGAGGGGATTTTCACATAAGGGTTTATAAACAAATAAAGTTGGAAAGAACTAAAAGAAAACTGATTTTTCTTTAAAAAAAAGAGAGTTTGAAATCTTTAAAAGAAACAAAGAAACAAAGGGAAAGGGGAGTCCTAGGTTTATTAATAATATGGATCACCCCACACAACATCCGGTAATCACTCCTCAGTGAGGGGCTACACATGATGTTATCGCGTGGTCATCATATCCATATCTACCCTTTCCCACCCCGTTAAGGTATTAAAGCGCGAGATGGTCTCGTTTACTTATTGCATGCAATTATTCGTCCCAATCCTATTAGTCCCAGAGGTAATTAAGACTACTAATCCTAAAAGGGAGGGATATTAGGCTTATTTGTAGTTTCAAAGGCAGAATTCTAAGGCGACATACAAAAACATGTATAACAAGTTGGGGAGGAGCACATAACAAGTAAAAAAAGGCTCAGATATACCTCCTTCAATCAAATAAGCACGTAGTTAGCATGACTTACACATATTGTTTAGGGTCTGATTAAGAACTTAAAAGCTGAGGCAGACTGATTTATTACATAATTCAGATAAGAAACCCGAATCAGGCCTGCCTGCTGGTTGTAATTAATAAAAACAGATTCTATTTGTAATTTTCACCCCAAAGCTTGCTTAAGTGTTGAACAAGGATCCTATAGACATGGTGTCTAATGAATTCAGAAAGGATTGAAATAAACTGAATGCATACTGGTTAAGAAAGGTTGCCAGATTATTAAAGAAAGGTAAGTTTTTAGCAAAAGGGTTATAAGTTTTGCAGATGACTACACGTCGTTATTACGGGTTTTAGCCTTATAAGTGAATGAAGCGATTCAGATTCGATTAATAATTCCTATAAACATATTTTCTATGCGTTGTCGATTTTAAAACCCTTTATAGACATGGTAAAGAATGCAGAAGCCTTATAGACATGATATCTAGATGCTGAATTTTTGTTTAAGACCTATGAACATGATTGCTAGATGAAGAATGGATATACGGGATTTAGAAGGACCTTTAGGCATATTTCCCTATATGCATATGCAGAATTCAGATTTGCAGGTACTTATGGGCGTGATTTCTATATGAGAGCGCAGAGTTCAGAAATACTTATAGACATGGCATCTATGTGAGAAAATCAGAATACTTATAGGCAGGATATCTATGTGAGAATGCAGAATTTCAGAAATACCTATAGGCAGGATATATGTGAGAATGCAGAATTTCAGAAATACCTATAGGCAGGATATCTACCCTTTGCATACATATTTACCCCTCCTTTTTTCACTAGCCATCCCAAAGAAATTATTACAAATTATTACAACCTAGAAAACAAGGGTAAAAGAATACATCAGAAAATTGAAAAGTACAACGAAGGAGAGCCTGATTCAGGCTTCATTTCTGAAATATGAGGTAAACCAACTCCAAGAGATCATGATCCAAAGACTTTCTCCCATTTGGATGTGTCAAAGTTCCCTAAGAGCCTCAAAGGGGACTCCGGGCAATGCTCACACCCAAATACATTATCATATTAGGATAAGTGCAGTGCGGAAGGGCCAGCCCTCAAGTGTCCAAGTTCAGAGGGAGCTCAAGGCCCCAAGGCAAGGCTCACAGGAGGGGGGCAGAACTTAAGGACTAAGAGAGTGTGCAAGTGCGGAAACAGAATTCTGAAAGGGGGAAAGGGAAAGGGAAACAACTACAAATAATTACACATAGGGGTACATGGGGAATAGGGAAGTTGAAAAAACTAGGCAGGCTGTGGGTATACCCAGCAACGGAGAGTGCTGATACACCCAGAAGCCTACTAAAACACATTATTAGAGGCTAGGATCCCGAAGGATCAAGTTTAGTTCATGGACAATAATTTGAATATTGTCATGCCTTAAACCATAGCTCAAACACATAGGGGGTAGGGGTTTTGGGATTCATAATAGGAGCAGATGGAAAGAAATCAGCATGCTAATTCAAGTATAGAAACAGTAAGTAGACATGGATACAAAAGCAGTAAATAAATACATTGTTGTGGTGCTAAAGCTTAAATCACGACATACCAGTTTCAAAGAAAGAAATAGAGAAAAATAATAGGTCTTGTAAATAGGCCACAGTGCAGACAAGAGAGAATACTATTGTGTATGAATGTGAGTTCAGAAAGATTGTGAATGAGTGATGATGTGTTTGTGAAAGAGTTGTACATTTATAGTGTGAAAATCAGGCAGAAATAAGGTAAGGAAACAGTTAAGGAACTGATTATCAATTAAGAATCAATCACACGAGACTTCCTTTAATTAAGAAATTCAGATTCAAATGGGAAAACTACTTAAGGGAAGAAGTCTAATAAACCTTTTGTGCAAAGCATGCACTTAGGGGCAAATACATAAAAAGTTATTTAAGGGACAAAATTTTGAAATATATGGTTGTACAAATAAGGTAAGAAAATCAATTAGTAGCCAGTAAATCAAGAGTCAGAGGTTTTGTAATTATTGGTCTATGAATGAGCCAAGTCAGAAAAGCTAAGAAAGGTTTTAACTTAAGTCGAATCATAGGGAAATCAACAAACAATGGAAAGAATCAATCAGACATATTAAGAAGGAAGTCTGAAACTAATCACGATTTGAAAGCCATTTTAGAGGGAAGTTCATCACATATAAAGAGCATACAGACATGTTAAGCTGAAAGAAGATGTCGTGTCATTGCAAAATCAGTAGATAATAGGCTACGAGAGCATGGTTGTCACATAGGTTAGCAATGTAGAAGAGAAGTAGCAAAAAGATCCGGGGTAAAGCAAAAGTTAGAATCATATGAAAAACAAGGATTTTAAAACTCAGTTCAGAGACTTGAAATTGGTATGAAAGAGTTTAGGGTTTTTGAAATAAAACTAGTTCAGGCAAATCAAATAGCCAATGGTTTCCAAACTAGGACGAACCCCAAATTCTAGGGTTTTTACTATCAATCGAGAGCAGAGATGAAAGGACAAGTAATTGAGTCGGAACAAGTTCAGAGGTCTCAGAAAAGAACTGAAACCTTTAACATGTTCCTTTCAGCAACAGAAACTTATGAGAAACATGGCAGAAGAGTAACATGCGAAACACAGTAGGTGCTCAAAGAAAACATGGTAGAAGAAACTAATACGAAACATAATGAAAAAATGCTAAGAACAGTAGGGGAAGCGTATTAAGAAGTATTAGAAGAAACTTAACTAGAACACAATAGAGGAAATTTAATAAGAAAACACACAAGAACACAGTAGAGAAAAATACAGTAGAGAAAACACACAAAAACACAGTAGAGGAAAATATAGTAGAGAAAACACACAAGAATACAGTAGAGGAAAATATAGTAGAGAAAACACACAAAAGAAAGAGAACATCAGAGAAACATCTAAATATCTCAGAAAAACCTTAGATCGGAAAAAGAAATGGTTTTGAAAGTAGTTTTTTGAAAGAAAATCCAGAAAATCGTTTAAAAACTTAGGGAAAGCATAGATCTGGAACAGATCTAAAGAGATCAGAAAAACCTCAAAGCTAGGGTTTTTAGAGGAACCCAAACGGTGAGAAAGGCTTGGATCTAAACAGAAGGAGTCGTAGCCAGGCTCGAACCAGACATAGCTTGCCGGAGCAGGGCCGGAGATGGCCGTAAACCTTGAATCAACAGAGGTCTGGACCCAAATCTTCGTGGTCGAGTCATGAGGCTTCAGTTAGGTGAGACCACTATAGATTTAGGTTAGAAGGTGGCCGGAGGAGATGAACAGAACTCATCGGATAGGAGAGGAGAGGGAAGGTTCTAGAGAGAACCAGAAGTAGAGATATAAAGACGAGTGCGGAATGAGAGGGGTATTGGGAGGTCGTTCGGTTAAAAAAGGTAATGGCGAATCTAGACCATTGATCAAAATTGATCAACGACCAAGATTTGATCCGGGTTGGGTCGGGTAGTTTTAGGATTGGGATTGGGTCGGGTTTTAATTGAAATTGGGCTGAAATTGGGGATCAGATTTTAGGCTAAAACTGAAACAGATTGGGCTATTATTTAAATAGCCAGTTTTTCCCTTTTAAAATTTAAAAAATAGTAAATTAATTTCTGGAAAAATATTGAAAGCATAAAAATGATTTATAATACATAATTATCAATTTAAAAATATAAAATCTCATTTTATGAATATGAAACAAATTTAAACCTAAAAAAGGCTAATATTGCAATTATGCAATTCTATCATTTAAAATACCAAATAAATTTGTAAAAAATACCTTAGCTATATTTTAATATAAACATGAGACTCCAATAAATGAATCGTCAAAAATGATAATTTTGGGATAATTATTGGGGTTTTCTTGATAAAATAGTGCAATAAATTGATTTAAAAATCTTTGAAAAATTAAGAAAAAGAATGTAACCTT